GCCTCCCCCCCAATGAGGAGATTGCTTGATTGTTAGGTGGACAGGAATAGAGAGCGGCCCCCTAATTCGTTCGGGCTGCTGCCGAAGGGGCCCGTCTTATTTTTCTCTCCAGAGGGAAAAATAAAGGTCACGTCCCAGAGGGTGGCGGTTGGGGAGCATGCCCGACCGAGATAGAAAGGGATCTTAAGATGCTGCCCAGCCCCAGGGGTGTCTGCGAGGGCGTCGAGGAGGGTTTGCCTTGTTACCGGGTGCCCGTGACTTCCTTCTACTGTGTATTTGGAGAGGTAATATTTCTGTCACAGCCTCTGGGCCCATTCTACTAAGATCACTTTGGGAGTCTCTTTCTACTGGTTAAAAATAGAAAACATGAGTTTACTGAAATAAAGACCATACAATGAAGCTTCTACACATTTGACTCAAGACAAATAATAATGAATGTAACAATAAATCCCATCAATCCAGCCTGGATTATGCTTGTCTTTATTTTGCTGTAGTAAAATATAATTTAAAAAAATTTAAGAAGTGGCCCACATAGACCAAAAAAAAAAAAAAAAGAGCACAGGATAGTCATTAATTCAGCCTTGGGGGCAATGTTCACATTTTCTGGTTTTTTTAAAAAGAAGTAATATCCAGATATTTGTACGCGACCTCTTGATTTTAAATGTTAGGAACCAGTTTAAAAATTAAACAAAAAACTCGCTGGGGCCCGGCTGAGCCCCGCGCGGCTCCGCCTGCACCTCCCGCAGGCCCGGGCTGCCATCGCGCCCCCGGAATGCCGGCCGCTCGATTCGATTGGGGGGACCCGCCTTCTGCCCGGCGCGCCCCCAGCAGCCCGCTCAGTGGGGAGAAGAGGCAGCGAGAACCTTCGGGGTTCGAGGCTCCGATGCGAAGCCCCCTCGCCCGGTCGGGTCTTCCGGCTCCCCGGCTGCCCCGCCGGCGGGCGCGGGGTTCGCGCGGTCCAAGGCTTTCCGCTCCCACGCCTTCCCCGGTCGGGCCCGCCGCTCGGCCCCACCCCTCGGCCCGCCGCCGGCCGCCCCGCCAATCGGGGACACTCGGAT